AGAAAAGTCTACAACATCAAGTCTCACCCAGCAAGCCAAGACACAATCAGGCCCCATGGCTTTTTGGATTTAAGGGAGTGGAGAGCTGAAGAAAAAGAGGGAGCATCCAGAAACTTGTTTATCTATCCAAAAAATAAATTAAGAACTACAAACAGAGAGAAAAAAATATCAGATAAACCCTCAGTTATTCTTTAGCTTGTCCCAGCATCAGACCTGCCTCATATCCCAAAACCTTTCTCTGCAGCTAAGCTGACTTAGATATTCAAATTTTGCAATTAAAGAATATTTGAAAACGTGGGCATACATTTTTGCTTCTGGCCTTAAACAGAGCCTCAGCAACCCAAAAGAATTAAAAAACTCCCCCTTTCGGTAACTACCTAACACTAGAGAATAACTTATGTGTGCAGTGCAAACTTCCTTTCTGTTTTACTCCCTTCTAATTACTTGGTAGGAAGGGAACATTTTAAAATAGTAACATGAATTGACAGGTGGAAGTCACCATGCTCAAGTTACAGATCCAAGCTTGGATATTATTAAGCTTGCTTTTTTCTTTCTTTCTTTCTTTCTTTTTTAAACAAATTAAGATGTTGAGAAACTCATTTGAAAGACAGGAATCTGAAAAAAAGGTAAAACCAGGTTTAAATCAGAAAAGAGGAGAAAGTTACATAATTCAAAGTAAGTATATATTTTACTTACATGAATAAAAACCTTAAGTAAATACACATATACACATTCTCATCTCAAGCCCAATTTGGCAGACTGTTAATAGAGTGCCATCTGGGAAACTGATTCCTTACAGTATTGCCGCAGAAATCAAGCACCCTTTTGAAGCTTTAGAGAACAGTTAAATCCTTAAAATATCATTTTGAGCCTTCTTTATTTTCACAAGGGAGATATGTTAACACTAATCTTGCTTCCAACTACTGTTCCTTTGGCAACCAGCATGTGTAAAAATAAGATACTTGATTTCTGTACTCTCCATTTGATAGATTTCTTAAACTCAGTCAATATCAACGTTTAAAGTTACATTTTACACCTAAAATATTAATATCCTAAATACTGAAAAAGTCTGTACTAGAAAATAATTTTTCTTTGCATCACTGAAATACTGTGTTCAAAAGCACTGCTATCCTGTAATTTTATTATGAACAGAACGTATCTAAGGAAATGCTACAAACTGGATTGGAAATGGTAAGGGGGTGGAAAGAAGAAACATGTTTACAATCTGTTCAAACTCTCAGCTTAAAAATTTCAATATATAATTCGGTTAGAGCAATGGTTTAAATACAGGACTTAGTCTCTGAGTCAAATTGCTAGACATTTAAAATTAAAACCTTTAATGTTCAACCGTACCCTTATGTCAACTTCAATTCCGCCAATGCAGGACCTCTGGGCTACTCTGTTGAGTGCCTTCTACAATGACCAATTGCTCTGTGCCTCTTAATGACCAGATGCCGCCCCAGACCATGACACTTACTGTAGGAGCTCTCCAGTGTGCTGTGGCATGGCGTTATGGCCACAGTGCTTACTCTCCTACAGAAAGGACTGCAGAGACAGCTCTGCGGATTGTCTGTGCTTCCTAAGCTCAGTATGGCTATTTAGTAAACGGTTAATAATAATGATGCAATTATTGATACAGAAGCTAAATTTCATGGCCCCAGTAACCATCTTAACTAGGATAAGTTCTACCTCAATCTATCATGCATGGAGGTTAAGTCACAAATTTGCTTATTAGCTTGTTGAGAAGAAAAGAAGTAAAGATGGATCCCATCCATTAAAGTCAAGAACGTCAAAATTAAAGTATCAACTGACTTTTGAATATATTTAGTCCCAAAATAAACAGAATTCAAGCATACTTGGAAAAATTCAAACTACTACTTCCTGCAAGAAGTAAAATAATTCAGTTAGAAAATTCAATCACATATTAATATGTATAATTACAGAAATATAAAGAGTACCCTAGTTGTTTGACTAGTGAAAAGTTATTATTGCAGATTAAATGGTAAATCTCATATTGCTGGAAAATAAGGTTTTGTAGTTAGGGTCTGCATTATTGAAATTATTCAATAGCAATGGCTCTTTAAATTAATTGCTTCTCCTACTGCCACTCATTCTCACTCATTCTATGCAAAGCACCTTATGCCATCCATGTTTTTGTCCTTGCTGTCCACTAACAAAATATACCTCACATTTGCCAACATGGAGGGTATAAACTGTCCTTTCCTACTTGTTCTCAGCAAGTCATGAAAACGTGTATCTTAGAATGCACTTGCAGTAAGAACAACAGGTCTATGAACTGTTAATGCAGTCCTGGCAGTTGAGTTTTGATAGAGCATTTAAAATAGTCAAGTAGTTTGCCACATTATTGCTAATTTTAATGTATACAGGTGAGCAAAATAATGTCAAAGTACTCACACGTTACCGTACACTCAAATTATGAGTGTGTCCCTTTTAAATGGACAAACATACTAACATGGAACTGAATAAATTATTTTAAGGTAGTAAGTAAAAAGTTATATTTTAGCAAAACGTAAAAGTCTGTTAGTATCCCTCGTTTCCACATGATTATCTTGCTGGCAGAGTGGAACTAAGTATGTAATTCTAAGCCTAAGAAGTCAGAGTTTCTCAACCTTGCCACTATTGATATTTGGATTTGGAAAATTCTTCGTTATGGGAGCTGTTCTGTTCATTAAAGAGTATTTAGCAGCACCCCTGACCCCCTAGATGCCAGTAGCACCCCCACCCCAGCTACAATGACCAAAAATATCCCCAGACATTGCCAAATGTCCCAAGGGGGGCAAAGCTGTCCCCAGTTGAGAACCACTGGTCTAACCAACACCAAGTCCTTTAAGCTACAATAAGCATATAGCACAAGATTTTTCACCTATTGGAGTCTCCACATTATATAAGAACAAAAACTAAGAACTAAGAAATGCATTACTATTACGCAAGCAATTATTTGCTTTCCTTTAAATCTGCTTCCTTTTATAAGAAAGCTATCTCAAGGCTTAAGAGCTGAGATATTTAAATATCTCAATATTTTTAAATAAGCCATTTGCCAGCTTCCTCGTTTCATAACTGGAAGGCTTCCTCCCTTCTGTTGCGTAGACTCAGGGTTGACCACGGTGCTCTCCGGTTCAACAAGATGGAATTATCAGAGGAAATGTTTTCAAGCTGAGTCAAGGTTCTCGCTCTGGCGATCTCCCTAGTACTACCTGGGCACACCTTGCTTTTAGGGACTTGTGGTTTCCACTGAAACAAGTTGTTCTGCATACCTCCCACTATGGCTGTAACTACTTGACCTCCCAGTTTCAGTTGTCAGTAATTTAATTTTGCTGAAGGCTGAGCCCAGATACTGATTTTTCCTAAACACTTCAGACCCAGCATCTCATGAAATAGGCTCCAGGCAAGCTTTGCTCAGAGCACCCTTGGAATTAGGAGCCAACAAACACGTTTTTCCTAGTCCACAGCCTACTCAAATATCGGCTAGAGTTTCAAAACAGTATGATTTTCAGGGGAAAAGATGTTTATTCTTAATAGACAGCAACAACTTAAGAAAAAGACTTTCCAAGTCAAAAGTTTCTTTGCCCAACAGATAGGTCTTATGTCTATTAGGAAAAACACAAGTTTACCGATAGTTATTTTTCATGGAATTTAAACATGACCTTGCATACTGCAGAAGTAAACATGCCATTCTGGCGATGAAACTTAGGATTCCTCAACTATCTTTCGATTAATCAGAAACGCGGACAGACTCATCTGTGCTATGCACAGATCATCGCTGTGTCATCTAGAAACGCTTCTTCAACAGACCTAGAAGCATATAGGTTCAAAATGGCTTGTTCATTTAAAAATATTAATATACTTAGACTTTTAAAAGACTGACTCTACCTGGGACTTTAGGTTACACTGCCAAAAGACAATGTGTACTATAAAAGATATTTATATACAGGGTTATTTTTCTTTAGAAAAAAAGTTGGCCATATTTAAGATTTTACAGTCAATTTTTTAATAACTATTGAAGCTATTACAACAGGGATATTAACCATAAACTAAATCTTTGAATTGGCAGAAACTAATTTTTCCATTTCTATTATTTCTATAGATAGAATAAAGTGTTTATTTTCTTCCCTGGAAAAAGGTGAATTAAGTTTAAAAGCCATTATGATACGGAAGTAGCCACTTCAAAATTAAATCATTTTCCTGTCACATTTATCTGGTAACACGAGTTTATTCTGATTCACTGAAAGCAAATTTGTAGGGGAAAAAAAATCCCACAAGAGCTTAAAACCAGATTTCCTGAAACCATATACTCACACATGAACACCATTTTCCACCTAAAACCCAACAGAAACACCTGCGCACATGTTTTCACCACCCCCCACTTTCACTTTCTTATCCATACTATTAGAATAGTGAAAAACAGTTCATTTTTAAAATTCAGCCACAATTGACAAGGTCATTAGCACTATATGTTGGTCCCAGGCACTGCTGCCTTCCAAATATTAAGAAAGTCTGTTTTACCACTGTCCTACTCTCACTTTTATGTTAGTAATTATGTCTTAATTCCAAACGTAAAAAAAAAATATTTTAAAAGAAGTCTTTTTACTCTGTAAGCTATAATATAACCTCTAAGTTTGCTTTATAAGCATAATGAGAATCTTCACCATTAGCAACCAAACATTACCGTGCTGGGCAAGCATTAAAATATCAACTACCATAATAACAACAATAAACAAACACATAGGGGAAAAAAAAAAAAAAAATATCAACTACCGTTTCGGTTGGTATCAAGATTTAAAATGAGACCATGACATGCTGATTACAGACAGCTTCACATTCACAGTCCCTCAGCTATTTTTTAAATAGTCTGCTTTGGAATGAGAACAGAAGAAGGCAGAAGAAGGATTTTTCAGTAATCACGGGCTCTCAGGAATTCTTTTCACTTAAGCAACAAGCCCCTAGTTTAAAAAAATATATAACAAACCAGTGAAACTTACTTGACAGTGACTCGATTTGATAAATCCTGTAGATCCCCAGGATGGAAAAGCTGGGCTTCTTTCAATCCAATCTGTTCACAAGCTTTCAAAAAAACGTTTACATTATCCTGTGAAAAGAAGTGGAAAGTGATTGCTTAGCCGAGCTCTCTCTTAGACAAAGGTTACAAATTTTTATGTTATAACTTCCAAGCTTCAAAGTCCAATTACAGCCAGCAAAAAAGGAGGCAGGAAGACCAATGCATACATATACTTAGAAGAAATACACGGTCATGTTTAGCCTTTCAGTCTTCCAGAGCATAAACGGTAGTGAAATCTTATGCCCGGGCGGGCATATGCTGTTTCTGTGATCTTTGTGACTGGCACGTTAAACATTACCTGTTATAGGACAAGTGCCTAGCCACTGAGCAGTAATCTACACTTTGATGTCAGCTCGGCTCTGCAAACAAACGCCCTCTTCCCAGCTTTGCACGACAAGCCTCACCTCTCCTCTTTAAAAATAACTCCAGCTACTGACGTTCACCCACCCAGAAACTGTTGGCAGGGAAGGAATAAGAGGAGGAACGTTCTGTTTCTATGATTACAAATTACAGAACGACTGTGGAATACCACACCTGGAATCTAGGTTTGGTTGCCGAGCCGGCTTTTGACAGACAGGGAAACCATACTACAGGACCCAGGAGAAGCCTAGTGTTCATTGGCCAGATCGCATAGTTTAGGTGTGGTACATTACTCATCCCTGCACCTGCCTCAGGAACTGCCTCCAAAAAACGAAAATCTAGGTTGCCCTCATCTCTGATTTCAAAACCAAAATCATCCATTCACAAAGCAATGCTTTTCATTCATGTAAACTACTACACAGACACTGACTACAGTTTATTCTATCTTACAGTCCCCTGCTTTTCAGAGACACATATTTGGTGAGCAGAACGAGCTTGAGCTTCCATCTTAACTCCTCTTAAAGAAAACCCTTTATGGGGCTGAGCTGGTGATGATCCCATGCGGACTCTACCTTCACTTTGTTAGGGTTCTCAGGTAAGAGAATGCCTCCTAGCATGCCAACACAACGTTCATCCACTTACACATGCTGGCGACACCACATCTGTGGTGTGGGCCTCTGAGGGCCTCCCTAAAACCTTACCTCCCTCCCTAACAGCTGGCTGTTAGGGACCAGAAGCCACTTGGAGAAAGGTAATTACTCTTGCCCCACCATGAGCAGCTCATCTCCAAAGGAAGAAAAGGCAGGATGGTACAGCAAGGTGGGAGGGAATGATAAAAAGAGAAGGAAGAGGAGCTTGGATTCGAGGAGAGTGAGGGGATATAGGGAAAGGGCAAGCAAATGTATGGCAAGACAAAACTAGTATTGATTACTAGGAAACTAAGGGACGTTAAAAAGCACCTATTCGTAGAGGTGGGAGGTTAGTCTAGTGTACTATCAGTAAAGGGCAGTGTGAACTCCCTGGCTGAAAGCTGAAGGCTATGAATCATTTTGAATAAGAGGTCAAAGAGTAAAGGAACTTATACATCAGAAGTCGAACAGTTCAATGGAAGGCGTTTAATTTGACTTTGTGGAATAAAGGGAAATCATGTATTGGCAAAATTCCAGGAGGAACGAAGTGATTTTTTTTTTGAGGTTAATTTTGTTGTTAAGTTCACATAATTTCTAAAACCTGTACTATCTGTAATTATCCAAAGATTCAAATTAATGGTTCTTAAACTGGCCCTTGGAAAAGCAGACAGAAACAAATGGTTTGGTATACCAGTACCCAAAATCCTACAGGAAGCAAATCTCATATCAAAAAAGGAAAAATAATCCATCAGAATTCTTCCCACAAATTCGATTTGGTTCTGAATGTTTAAAATGTTATAAAACATTACATAGTTAAACTAAAAGTAAACCTATTGAACTGACAGCCAAAATAATTCTTCACATATTTTATAAAAATATAATAGCATTCATCTGGTTGACAAATATGTACAGATTGATAAGGATAAATAAAGCCACACATGCCTCAAAACCCATCCAAGTATTTAGAAAGAAACCACTTAAAATCTAAAGTGACTATACTTCATTGGAGACTAAGAAAAAAATACAATTAATGATTAAATTTTAGTTTCATATAAAGCCTATATGTTAAAAAATTCTTTTAATTAGTTCAATGACGCTCAATTTTAAAGCAGACAAACTTTATAAACAGTCGTCCATGTTCTATGCAGTAGGAACAGGTTGTACTATGATGAGAATTGTACCTAAATCATGCGTACTGGACTTGAGCCCACTGGTAATTTAGTTTTTGCAATTTCAAAGGACCTAGGCAGAGAGTTGCCTAAGGCGAGACACAAAATTATAAAATTTTCATGTCTGTTGAAACCTCAAGAAGCCACACCCAGTTCAACATATTAAAAGGGAAATATTTAGTCCTCATTTAATGGAATCATTTTCACTTGAAACTAGCAAAGATAAATGAAAGTAAAAACGAAGGTCAAACCTGAAACAAATCTTATCTCACTGGACTGGCAGCCAGGACTCCAAGTTAGCTCTGTCACTAACCAATTCTATGGCTTTGGAAGCATGAGTTCACCTTTCTGGCTCCATTTTCCTCACCTGCGAAATGAGTAGTTTGTGGATCCGTAACCTATTACGTAAGGCAAACACTTCTCTCTGCAAGAGGAGGGAAGCCCGCCCTCGCTAGCCCAACCCTTCACATAAATAGCCCAACTTATATAAAATACTTGATGTCAACAGCCTAAATATCTGCAATTCCTACACTTTGAGGACCAAGAGCGGCTTTTCAAAAATAAACCCAAAAAAAGACAATCCCTGAAAATCTTCAATAGCTCCTTTTAGTTTCAAATTTTTCTATGACTGTGAGTCAAGACAGACGCCATATCAACAGAAGAAGCAGGATGGCTCAAGATTTTCATATTCTCTCCAATCCCCTCTCCACCCCTTAGCCTTGAATCAACTACAAGGGCAGTCACAATAGGCGTGGGGTGGAGAGGGTAAATTAGAGATTAACGAATCAGGAACAGTACTTGCTAAATAACCGAGGCAAGATGAGGGAGCCACAAAAATTTACCAAGATTCTCAGGTTTATATTAGTCCACTGTAGTACCTCTTTTGGTTATCTACTGCTGCATAGCAAATTATCCCAAAACTTAGCTGCTGAAAATAGACATTTATGATTTCACAGTTTCTCAAAGTCAGGAATTTGGGAGTGGCCTAAGTGTGATGGTTCTGGCGTGGAGGTCTCATCAGATTGTAGATGAGATGTCAGGTGGGGCCACACTCATCTAAATGCCTTCCTGGGGCTTGAAGGAGCCACTTCCAAGGTGGCTCACTCAGATGGCTGGCAAATCAGGGCTGGTTGTTGGCAGGAAACCTCAGCTCTTTACCAAAGGGACATCTTCACAGGGCTGCTTGACACAGCAAGTGATCCAAGAGAAAGCAAGATGGAAGCTGTGATGTCTCATGACCTAGCTTTTCAAGTCACTTCATTGTTTTCTCAGTATCCTGCTAGTTACACATAGGACTGCCCCCTTCAATGTAGGCATAGACTGGCAGGTCCTTCATTAGGATTCAAGGCCAGGGAATACCTCATGGTTTTTTGCTTCACCTCCTGGACTCTTGGTTCCACCTTAAAAATCATCTTTCTGTTTCCTTGAGAAGTAGCTTGTGTTTGCAGGTGTGTAGCTTTCTCAGGCTACTTCCTGCTTGTATAAGTTTGAGGGACTAAAGGTCTTTTAATTTTGTAATCCTCTGTCCCTTTCTGTCTATGTTTACAGTGTTTCTGCAAATACAATTCTCTCAAAAATACTATAAGTCTTCTGTGAATCTTATTGGACTTCATTTACTAGACAAAAGTCACACCCACAAATCCGTTCAAGAGAAGCCCTTCTCGACCTTGCTCTACTGAGATGACTGAGCAGCAGAGCTGAATTAATTATATTTTAGCATGCTCTTATCAGTCAAAATAAGAGCTCTCTCATTTTATTTTGTCATATTATTATTTTCCTCTTCATCCCATACCCTCAACTTATTTCCACTCCTCTCCATTAAAAGGTGTCTTCTACCTAAGTATATACCCTAAAGAACTGAAAAGAGACTTTCAAACAAGTTACAAGTACATGCACATTGATGGCACCACTATTCACAATAGTTAAAAGGCGGAAAGAGCTAAGATGTCCATTAACAGATAAATGGATAAACTGTGATATATCCATACAATGGATTTTTCAGCCATCAAAAAGAATGAAGTACTGATACATGCTACAGCATGGATGAACCTTCGAAACATTATACTAAGTAAGAGAAGCTAGACACACACAAGTCACTTCATTTATATGAAATATCTAGAAGAGAGAAATCCATAGAGACAAAATGTAGACTGCTGGTTGCCAGGGGTGGGGGGAAGATGAAATGGGGAGAAACCACTTTATAGGTGAGAGGTTTTACTTGGGAATGATGGAAATGTTTGGTGGTTGCAGACACTATGAATGTACTAAATGCCACTGTTCACCTTAAAATGGCTAATTTTATGTTATGTGAATTTCACCTCCATCAGTTATTTTCTAAAAGATGCCTTCTCTAATGTGCTTAAAAATGTAAATGTCCTTTAGAGTGTTGATTTATGTAGTCTAATTTACATAAATGGCATTATAGTCTACAGTTTCTCTTACACATTGAATCATTTTGTCACATAAAAGTCTAAATCCTCGTTAAAGTGTATACTACACCTCCTTAGGCTCTCACCCTAACCAAAGTCACTTTCATTTTTACTTGGAGGATCAAAAAAAATATCTATAATGATAAAATTTCAAGCGTGATGACTTCCAACAGGCAGAGGTAATACTTCATATTAAGAAACATTAATGTCACAACAAATGAGAGGCTGTGTACTCTTAAGATCAAACTAGTTAGACTCACTTCTGCAAAAATTTCCCGAGCCTACACGTCAAGAGCTGTCATAAACAAAAATGAGTTCTTTAAATAAAGACAAGACTAATAACAAGATTTATTATAGCAGCCCTGAATTAAGATAACTAACTCTGAAAAAGAGTGAGGCTGTGCTCAGGGCTGTGACCTGAGGACCATATAGGCAACACCTTA